TGATAAATGGAGAAAAGATTGAAGTTGTCAAGGATTTCATTTTACTTGGATCCACAATCAATGCCCATAGAAGCAGTAGTCAAGAAATCAAACAACACATTGCATTGGGCAAATCTGCCACAAAACATCTCTTTAAAGTTTTAAAAAGCAAAGATGTCACATTGAGGACTAAAGTGAGCCTGACCCAAGCCACGGTGTTTTCAGTCACATCATATGCATGTGAAAGCTGGACAGTCAATAAGGAGGACCTGAGAAGAATTGATGCCTTTAAATTGTGGTAATGATGAAGAATATTGAATATACTATGGACTTCTAGAAGAACAAACAAATCTGTCTTGGAAGAAGTACAGCCAGAATGTTCATTAGAAGCAAGGATGGCAGGACTTGTCTCACATACTTTGGACATGTTATCAGGAGGGACCAGTCCTTAGAGAAGGACATCATGTTTGGTAAAGTAGAGGGTGAGCGAAGAAGAGGAAGACTGTTAATGAGATGGATTGACATGGTGGCTGTAACGATGGGCTCAAGCATAACAACGATTGTAAGGATGGCACAGAACCCGGCAGTGTTTCATTATGTTGTGCGTAGGGTTGCTATGAGTGTGAACCAAATGACGGCACCTAACATCGACAGTATTAATGGAGTCAAGGTGATAGGAGAGATTTCGGGTCATTTGTGTATCAGTAGCCTTCTAAATTGATGATCTATAATCCTTATGACAGCTTCAAGATGAGAAATCAACTTATGAAAGGGGCTTTGGTTTCACCTCCTGTACCTTTCCCTGTCTGTTGGAGAGGATATTTAACCAAAATTGAAGGAGATAACAAAAAACCCAATCAACCAATCAGCTTAATAAAATGGCACTTTATTAAATAATTGACTCTTCTCAAGACTAGAAATGTTACACTTACTGCGAGTTGTGGACACATCTCAGGCAGATAGAATTTTTAGTGTCTAAACCTTCTAGAAGAAAAAAGATTTCTCTGAAAATAGTTTTCATGTCTTGCTGAGAATGGGAGGTTTATGTTTTTAGTCCTTGATCATTTCAGATATAAGTTAGGAACAGGAAATAGTAAGATTGCTACAAGATAGAGTACAAAGTGAAAACCAGAAAAACCATAGAGTTAATGAAATGGTCCATCTTGTTATGAAACCTGTAGAGGTGAGGGTAAATGAGTAATTGACCCCTTTTAGTTGGTTGAAGTTTGGAAAGAATTTTGTTTATTTATACGAAAAGCATTAAGTTGTTGGTAAAAGGTATTTTTTTAGCCAGCCATGAACAACTTAGTATTAGAAAGTATAATGGAGCCAATATTTGTTTAAGGATGAAATTATATTTCTGTATAGATTATTAATTTTAATTTAACATACTGTATATTAACAATATAGTCAATATAAAAATTCTGTAAGCTAACTAATAATATATATGCCCATGTTCATCTTCTTTCAGTTCTTCTAATATACTATACTTTATCTTACATCTGGGACTTCACAAATGCTGCCATGACCTTTACTCAGAATACTCTTACCTACTCTCCTCTCCCTAGCCCCATCCTCATTCTGTCTGTAAATTCACTGCCACAGCACTTACTACATTCTGGTGGGAATTAATGTTTGTCTTGTTTTCCAACAGATATTCAATAACAATTTGTTAAATAAAATGATAATATATACCTGTTGCTACATATAGATATTGATAGTTTACTACAAGTATGTATGTGAACGAATATATATACCAAAACTCAGAAACCCATTGCTGTGAGTCGATTCTGACTCATGACAGCCCCAAGTATTAGCAAGTAGAACTGCTCCATAGGATTTTATTGGTTGTAATCTTTATGGAATAAGATCGTCAGGCCTTTTCTTCCATGGTACTGCAGGGTGGGTTCAAACTGCTAATCTTTTAGGTTAGTAGTCAAACACAAACTGTTTCTGCCACCTAGGAACCTATGTGGATATATTTACATATATGTGGTAGTGGCGCAGTGGTTAAGCTCTCAGCTGCCAACTGAAAGGGGGGCAATTCAAACCCACCATCCACTCTAGGAAAGGAAGATGTGGCAGTCTGCTTCCGTAAAGATTTACAGCCTTGGAAACCCTATGAGGCAGTTTTACTCTGTCATATACGGTCACTGAGTCAGAATTGACTCAGCAGCAATAGGTTTACATATATATGTTTATATATCTGCCTCGTATAAAAAAATCACAAAATATTAATTCAGTTTTCTGATTATTAGGATAAGAGTATGAATTCATTTTGAAACATGTCCCTTGAGTTATTTTTAGAGTAGTAACTTAAGAAGAAGGAAAAGCAAGGACATGATAGGCAAGTTCCAGGGAATATAGGAGTACAGATCACTACAGTAGGATTGAGTATTCTGTGTATGTCCAACATTCTGGTAGACATATACAAAATACAAAAGAAGTATAGTACTGGCTGCTTAAGGTAACCTATAGTCTAATTGAGGAGAAAAAATTAACACTACACAGAGAACTGAGATCAGCCCCAGGGAGCTGTTGACAGCTTTAAATTTTGAGAGGTTTAAGCAACTGGAATGCACCTTTTTCCCATTTCAATTCAAGTCAGCACTCACTGAGCATCACCTGTGTGTCAGTGTAGATAATAGGATCAGTCCTACCTATGAAAAGTAGGCCGTATGTCCAGGAAGGATGCTGTGGTCCCGGGTAGAGCAGTGCCTTAGGAAAGCAATCCAGGCTGAAAGTGTGCTGTTGCTTTTCACATTGTGTCAAGACTACTGTATTGACACTGGCTTCAGTGTTACCAGCTGTGTCATCTTTCTCCCGTTGGCCTAGTCCAGAGGGCCCAGTCGTGTAGGAGGATAGTGTGGTGGTAAATTCAGACATACCTTGTTTGGGACCCTGGCTCTGCTATTTGCTTTCCAGTTTCCATAGCTATAATAGTATCTCTTCTTCAGAGTTATTGTGAGGATTAACTAAGTAATCTATGTTAAGTACTTAATTAGTACAGTGCCTAGCACATAGTAAGTGTTCAATGAAAGGTTTGCAAGGAAGATTTCAATGTTGTCTCTGTCAGCAGTTAGGTTACAATCTAGGTCCTATTGCCTGAGTTTTCATTTCTTAACACTAGCAATATTTTGCCCATCCCTGTTCTTTTATCACTTATTTTTTTTAATCACTTATTGTTCTGAGAACAGAGTTGGTAGCAGATATGATACATTTTATCTTTATAAAAGCACAACTTTATGCGATATGTTGCGTGCCTGTCTGATCATATCTTCTACCATTCTCTTCCTTACTCAGTCACTCTGGCCTTCCTGCTTTTCCTTGGACACACCAAGCTTATTCCTGATGCACAGTCTCTGTTCGCGTTTAGCTTTTCCTTAGAATGTTCTTCTCCCAGAGAGCCCCATGGTACACTAGCTCCACCTTATTTAGTCTCTTTAAATGTCACCTCTTCAGAAGGACCTTCATTGAGTGTCCTCTATAAAATAGTGCCCCTTACCATTTTCTTATCCTGCTTCGTATTTCTTTATGGCACTTCTCACAGTCTTACACCATTTTACACGTTTATTCATTAATTGGCATTCCCCCTTTCTGGAATGTAAGTTCTCTCAGAGGCATCTTGTTTACTGCTTCATCTTCATAGTAGTCAAAATGCATAGTAGTCACTCAGCAAATCTTTGTTAAATGAATGGTTTAAAATTTTGGGCCATGTCAACCTAAACACTAAAATTACTCTTTAAAAATTATTATAAAAGTGACTGACTTTAGGAATAATGTTGAAAAAAGTCTTAAATTGCCATTTCTTTTCTTTTAGAGAAATGTTGACTCTGATGAGATGGTAGGAAAATTGTCTCTTCGAAAACAGCGCTTCATGCAGTTTTCTTCATTGGAACATGAAGGAGAGTATTATATGACACCAAGAGACTTCCTCTTTTCCGTAATGTTTGAGCAAATGGAACGTGAGTTGTTTGTTTGTTTAAGTTAAAGAAACCAAACATTGGGATTGAAAAAACTATTGATGATAGCTTTTCTCCATTTTAATTATCATCATTCTTTGTACCATGCATTTACATTCCTTGCGAGACTAGTTAAACTTTTATATGTATCTCTCTCAGAAATGACACAAATTGTTTCGTATATGGTTTGTTTTTTTTTTTTTAAAGAAACGGAGGAAAAGTAGATACATTTTTAAATGTCATTAAATATATTATTAAAATAATTTGAGATGATCATTTTGGGGAGTAGTGATGTTTTAAGTTGAGCAAAAACAATGCAACTAGAGCAGTTACGAGGTAACATAGTTGTCATGGAGTTATGATGCTATGGAAAATAAAATGAGAAGCAAAAATTCCAAAACTGTACTTACATGATTTATTTCATATACAGTCAATGCTCAGTTATTCCAGATGATGCCAGAAATTGTTAGTTTTATTACCTAAACTAGTTCCTTCTACTGCCCTATAAATAGTTAATATGTATGAAACAGCTGAGATGAGCCTAAGGTAAGGTAAGGATGAGGAGAGAAGTACAGATTGAATTGAGAAAGGCAGAGAGAACTTGGGAAGGCTTTCCAAGTATTTGAGAGATGACAGACAACGAAACAAAATGATCGTGGCCTGTTCTAGGAACAATAAGTTCACCAGTCATTGAAACCAAAGGATTGCATTGGGAATAGTAAGAAATCAAACTGAAAAGCAAATAAGGGCCTGATTGGGCCAGCAAATAAGGGTCACAGGGGATTTCACTGACCCTGTCCATCCACCACAGGAGCGTGCATTTGGGGGAATGGGTTTACTTCATCTTGAACCTATGAGGGAGTAAGGAAGTTTTATGAGCAGTAAAATAAGGTAGTAAAAAATGTATTTAGTAACAACCCAGCAATCCTACTCCTTGGAATATATCCTAGAGAAATACGAGCCATCACACACGATACATGCACACCCATGTTCATTGCAGCACTGTTCACAATAGCAAAAAGATGGAAACAGCCTAGGTGCCCATCAACAGATGAATAGATAAACAAATTATGGTGTATTCACGCAATTGAATACTACGCAACAATAAAGAACAATGATGAATCCGTGAAACATCACATGGAGGAATCTGGAAGGCATTATGCTGAGTGAATTTAGTCAGTTGCAAAAGGACCGATATAGTATAAGACCACTATTATAAGAACTCAAGAAAAGGTTTAAACCTAGGAGAAAACATTCTTTGATGGTTATGAGGGTGGAGAGGGAGGGAGAGGGGTATTCACTAACTAGACAGTAGACAGGAATTATCTTAGGTGAAGGGAAGGACAGCACACATTACAGGGGAAGTCAGCACAACTGGACTAAACCAAAGCTAAGAAGTTTCCTGAATACAACTAAACACTTCGAGGGACAGAGTAGCAGGGGCGGGGGTCTGGGGACCATGGTTTCAGGGGACATGTAGGTCAATTGGCATAACGAAGTTTATTAAGAAAATGTTCTGCATCCCACTTCCGTGAGTGGCATCTGGGGTCTTAAAAGCTAGCGAGCGGCTGTCTGAGATGCATCAGTTGGTCCCAACCCACCTGCAGTAAATGAGAATGAAGAGCATCAAAGACACAAGGAAAGTATTAGCCCAAGAGACAGAAAGGGCCACATAAACCAGAGACTTCATCAGCCTGACACCAGGAGAACTAGATGGTGCCTGGCTACCACCAATGACAGCCCTGACAGGGAACACAACAAAAAGTCCTTGATGGAGCAGGAGAAAAGTAGGGTGCAGAACTCAAATTCTAGTAAAAAGACCAGACTTAATGGTTTGACTGAGAGTGAAGGGACCCCGGAAGACATGGCCCCCAAACTCTCTAGTTAGCCCAAAACTAAAACCATTCCCGAGGCCAACTCTTCAGACAAAGGTTAGACTGGACTATGGGACCTAAAATGATACTTGTGAACAGTGTGCTTCTTAGCTCAAGTAGTTACATGAGACTGAATGGGCAGCTCCTGTCCAAAGGTGAGATGAGAAGGCAGAGAGGGTCAGGAGCTGGTTGAATGGACACGGAAAATCTGGGGTTGAAGAGTGTGCTGTGACAGTACAGGGAGAGCAACTAGGATCACATAATGTATGTGTAAATTTTTGTACAAAAGACTAAAATTGTAAACTTTCACTTAAAGCCCAACAATAAAAAAAGATCTAAATTTTAAAAAGTATTTAGATTATTTTGGTATAGCTTCTATGGAGGTAATTTTGGCAGTATGTATCAAAGGCCTTAAAAATACTTTGATGCAGCAGGGAGTTCCTGGGTGGTGCAAACGGTCAAGCGCTTGGCTGCTAATCGAAAGATTGGTGGTTGAAGTCCACCCAGAGGTGCCTTGGAATAAAGGCCTGGCACTCTGCTTTTGAAAAATTAGCCTTTGAAACCTCTATGGAACATAGTTCTATTCTGACACGCATGGGATCAGTATGAGTCGAAATTGACTTGAGGGCATCTGGTTTGTTTATTTTGGGGTTTTTTTTGATACAGTAAGTTCACTCCTAGAAAATTAATCTAAGTAAATAGATGGAAAAAAGATTTCTTTATAAAAGTAGTATATATCATATGATTTACATTTTGTAAGAAACCTATACAAAGAAAAAAACAAGGTTTTCATATTGGAAAGGCAGAAATAAAACTATCAGTAAAACTATGACATGATCTTGTATACAGAATATCCTAAGGAATTCACTAAAGAACTATAGAATTAATAAACAAGTTCAGCAAGATTGCAGGATACAAATCAATATACAAAGAACAATGGTATTCCTATATACTTGCAATTAAGAATCTAAAATTGAAATTAAGAAAACAATTGCATTTTACAATAACATCAAAAAGAATAAAATACTTAGGAGTTCAAAACTAAATAATATTATTTAAGCACATGTCTTTATAATAAAACTATTTTTAAAAGTAATGGAATGTTACCAGTTGTCTCTGTCTGGAGCAAGGAGGAATGAAGAAAACCAAAGACACAAGGGAGAGATTAGTCCAAAGAACTAATGGACCACAGCTACCACAGCCTCCACCAAACTGAGTCCAGCACAACTAGATGGTGCCTGGCTACCACCACCGACTGCTCTGACAGGGATCACAATAGAGGGTCCCGGACAGAGCTGGAGAAAAATGTAGAACAAAATTCTCACTCACAAAAAAAAACCCCAAAACTGGACTTACTTATCTGACAGAGACTGGAGAAACCCCAAGAGTATGGCCCCTGAACACCCTTTTAGCTCAGTAATGAAGTCACTCCTGAGGTTCACCCTTCAGCCAAAGATTAGACAGCCCCATAAAGCAAAACAAGACGAAATGGGCACACCAGCCCAGGGGCAAGGACTAGAAAGCAGGAGGGGACAGGAAAGCTGGTAATAGGGAACCCAAGTTCAAGAAGGGGAGAGTATTGACATGTCATGGGGTTGGCAACCAAATTGCCATTATGTGTACTAATTGTTTAATATGTGTACTAATCGTTTAATATGTGTACTAATTGTTTAATGAGAACCTAGTTTGTTCTGTAAACCTTCACCTAAAGTACAAAAAAAAAAGTAATGAAATGTTAGACACAATGAAGTGTAGTAGTTACCTCTAGTGAAGAAATTGGGAGATGGAATGGGGAGAAATCATAGGTAGATGTAAGTTACAGATAATGTTCTAGTTTTGAGGTTGAGTGATGAGTTTTGAGGTATTTGTTATTACATATATAGAACATTTTGATGTATCAAATTATCTATTTAAGTTTATAATAAAATAAAAAAACTATTGAGTAGGAGTTCATATAGCCATTAGAAAAAGATGAGCAAAGGATAGATTTTGCGTAGTCATAGTTGGAAAACAATAAGACCTATTCAGAGAAAGTGCTTAATGGTTCAATATGGGTACATACGGAGGAGTGGCAGAAGATGAGGCTGGAGAAGTAGGCAGGAACTAAATTGTAAGGAGGCGCCTTGGATACCATCTTACAGGTTAGATTTATCTCGAGTGTGACAGGGAGCCTTTGGAGGATTTTTAGCTTGTGAGGCAAGAGGCTGCAGTTATCCAGGCTGGAGAAAATGAGGACATGGACACAAGTTGAGGCGATGACATTGTATGGGAGGTGAAAGAAAGAGACATTTAAGAGTAGTTTAGTTGTTGGAATCAGTAGAACTGTATAATAATGTGGAGGAAGAAAAGGGTGAGAGAAGAGTAGAATTACTTCATTCAGCACTTGCTCCCATGTACTGCGCTGTGTAGTGGTGATATAAAAATTAACAAGATAAATCTTGTTACTGTTTAAACAAGGATAAAATAGTTTGAAAGTAGTATACTTGAGAAAAGCCCCAAACTTCTAGATTTCTAGTATAAGCTACAAGGTGCTACCATTAACCGAGGCAGAAAATAAAACCATGAATTAAGGATTCAAGGTTTACTAGGATTTATAGTAAGTGGGTACCCTTCTATATTCATTTAAAGACTTGCCATACAAACTGAACAGTAGAAAGCAGGGAAAATAGTAAGGATTTAAAAATAAATTTAATTAGAAATATTAAAACTCAAAAGTAATTCTTTAATAAATTTTAATGAAGTTGTGATAAAAATTTTAATGATCAGATATTGCTGAATCTCCTAGCTAAAAGATTAACTCTAAACTGGTTATATTAGTTTATGTTAAAAACTACTATATATATATAGGTTGAATGCATAGTTTCAGAAAGGAAAAATATTTCGAAAGTCTAAATACAGTTAGGCCTGAAATCCCGTAACAAAATTTTTTGTATTTGCCACGACCATCCAAAAAACCAAACCAAACCTGTTGCTGTCGAGTTGATTCCAACTCACGGTGACCCTGTAGGACAGAGTAGAACTGCCGCATAGAGTTTCCAAGGAGCGCCTGTGGATTCGAGCTGCCGACCTTTTGGTTAGCACTCATAGCACTTAACCAGTATGCCACCAGGTTTTCCAACTATAACCGTA